ATCCTATCCCATCGCATTCCATTCCTTCCTATCCTGACCTGTTCATTAGAAAGAAAAGACAGCATAATAGCAACCCAATATCAATACCTTGTATGGTTACTTGGTATTGGCCATTTTGAGGTTGCGCGTCAGGTTCAGGTTGTTGGTATGTCGAGAGCACTTTTATCCCTTTTGGGACGCTATGGCCTCACGTATTGGCTGTTACGAGGTTGCGCAAGAAACTGGGTTAAAATTTCTCTCGCAAAACACTCCCATAGTGCAATTGGACTGGCCACTCTGTGGTCAAGAGTGATATTTCACATATATTTACATGAAGTCAAACGGCAACCATAAAATGGCTAATCATTGGATCGATGACCGTTTCTGGAAAAACTCCCAACCTCCGAACCCCTAACCCATGTTTCTTTCCTAAAGCCACCCGTCAGGGAAAAACGAGAGTTAAGGTGGGTTGGGAAGGACCCAGAAACTGTAAATAATTCGACGAGATCCCGTTTTTGTTTGTTTGTCAGCCGGCTGTCGCATTACTCAGATCCATTTATTGTGTGGTGGAATTATTCCTCTGTTGTCTGCGTTGGAGATGGCCATGGCTAAAAATGCTGATAAAATTGGTCTCAGGTAAGTAACTCTTAACCCCTTCGCTTCCAAAAGAACTGATTATCAAAAGCATGAATCGCTATAAAAGCCGAAGCACTCCTAAAAAGGCTATATGTGAATGGTCGCACAATGTATCCACAGTATGTTTTAGCGGTTGATATTTTGTCCGTCTGGCGACTTCGGTTCCCGAGGCGTGAGTTTTGGTCGTGTCATTGTGTTTGGTTCTTGTCGCCGAGCAGTTTTTCTTTTTCCTTTTTGTTGCAACAAGGAAAGTCGATCTCTGAGAGTAGTCCGCGTTGAGCTAGATAACGGTCAGCGGCTGGTAGGTCTGCGTTACCCAGAGCAACTCATACCGGAAGCTACATTGTTTCTGAAGGAGCAAAAGTTGCTCGACACCGTTATCGTAAGTAAATATTGATTTGTGTAAAGAAAAGTGTAAAAAATTCTCATCACACATTTTTGGCCAAGCACTCGTGTTAAAGAACAGTTCCCGACCGGTCCTTAATTTTAGCAGCGTTGAACGATTGATAACCACACTCAGTCATCATCAAGAACTCCTCTTACCCAAGAGTGACCAACATTAATTTTCTCCTAACAATAATATTTAACAATTATTCCTCTCGCCTTCATGGCCTCTGAGTCAATAGCCCATGAGGCCGAAGGCCAAATGGGCTATCGACTTAGAGGCCGTGAGGGCGAGAGGAATAATTTTTTTAGTAAAATCCAACTAGCTGGTCAAAAATATCGAGACAAAACAGGTTTAGCTGGTTAAAGCTAGACTTTAATCCTTTTTTTGCCGCCAAAAAGCCCGCGCTTTTCGCTACTAGTGGGCTATAACATATAGCCTAGTAGTAGCTCAACCAATCAGAACGCAGCATTGATAATAGACCACTAGTTGGATTTTACTAAATAGATTTAGCCAGGGCTAAAAGCGAAGCTCTGGTTAATAATACTTATAAACAAGAAAAATTAAAACGTGTAATGCTCAACGGGGACGGCAATGAAAATGGCATCAAGTTTAATAGATCTAATTAGCAAAAAAACAAATTCCACGTGCAGCACACTTTTTTTTCTAATTAGCAAAAAAACAAATTTGCACGTGCAGCACGCTTTTTGTCTTTCTTTGCCGTTGTTTTGCAGGACTACAACGCTGTTTTGTTGGACTAAATCGTCAAACTTCCTAGTTACACATTATTTTTATGGAGGAATTGTCGTATCTGCTTACCCAATATTTTATCTCCTGTGTTCATGTTCGCTTTTATTTTTCACTGCCGCTCATTTTCACTTTGCTGGCCGCTAGCATTTCTCATTGTCTCACCGCCGCTTTGAATTTTTATGTTTTTCTTCCTACAAAATTCGGCTGTAGCTCTTTCTCTGTTATCCACGTGAATGTAAACATCAAAAATAACATCGAAAAATACATGACTTTGTACTTCTCACTTAGGGCAAAATGTTGGCTTAGGGGAGGGGTAGGTGGGCAGTTTCCCAGAAGCGTGTAATGATCCATAATATTAATACGTAACCAAGAGAAAAGGTTATAAGAATTAATAAAATGTAACCAAAATTTGATCTTTTACCAAATTCTCTGTTCTAATTTTGTAAAGACATACGTGAAGAAAAAGTCCGGAGATTTTATTTGTCTGTGTATACTGGGTTTTCATAGTACACAACAGAGAATAAGTTTTATTTTAACATTGCAGCATGATCTTGTTACTTATCTGATATTTATTTCAAATTATTAATAACCTGCGAGTTCAACCTTCTCTCATTGCCCCCGTTTCTGGGGACGTTAGCGAGAGTCTGGTTAAAATTTTTATCGTGCTTTGCTACTGCTTCTAGGCTTCAACTTTGAACCTTGTTAGATATTGTTTTAACTTAAACGATTATCTTTTTTTTGTTGTTGTTTTTTTTCCTTTATTTTCTAGGACAAACAAAATGGTGTTTTGAGTTCAACAGAACCTTCTCTTAGACAGCCATCAAAAGCCAGCCGAGCGTTTGAGGAAGCGGAAACTCCCATCAACCAAAGGACGTTAACTAAGGCTACTACTCCTCCTGTAACTATAAAGAATTTCTTTAAACCGAAGACTGTTGAACGATCACCTGAGAGTAATAAAAGTGCATCAGAACATCAGGATGTTAAGGAAAAGAGCGGGGAAAATGACTGCAATGAGATCGAAAATCAAGAAATCGAGAACAACGTCAAAAACAGCACGGATGACAAACAAGCAACGACCAAAGTAAGTAAGAAGGAAGTCAAATCAATATACTTTAAATCGAAGGGAAGAGAAAAGGAAGAGCTCCCGGAAAATAAGGACCTTTCAAAGGTGCTGCTAAGTGTAATGGTCTTGTGCGCCACCTTTCGGAACCCCTTTCGAAAGAGAACCTTCAAGGAAAGAACTCTTTGCAACGAACTAGTTCTGAAGCGCCGTCAAGGGCGATTTTAGCGACAGAAGCAATCGAGCATTTTGTCTTCGTTTGGGAAATGGACTGACAAAGATTCTAAGGACCAAATGGAGAAGGAAATTCTCTGCCCTGTTTGTGGGGAGAAATTTGCGAGCGGATTGAAAAATTCTGATATCAACAAACACATCGACAATTGTCTCAGTAAATGATAAAAATTATGAAATTTATATATTTTTAGCAAAAATGAATACTAGTTATTCTTGAATCACAATATGACATAATTAGCAATAGTATTGTTACATGTAACTGATATAAGTTTAGTTATGAAATTATAACACGTTCATGGTTCTGCAGTTTTTTTTATCGAAATATTTTCAAAGAAACAAGCTTATGCTACATCCCTCTGATTCTGCACTAAAACCTGTGTCAATCCGTGGATTTACGTTCCCATGTACAGTCGAACTCCGCTTTGCGGACACTCGCTTAATACGGACACCATCATTATTACAGACGGTTTTCTTTGTCTCTGGGGAAAGAAAGCCCTTACATTTCCTCTAAAATTTGTCTATAATTTTCTATTCCTTGAGGACGGCTAAAAATTTATAGATGACCGTTCCATTCACGTACAATTTTCGACGCTTATCTTATAAATTCTCCACGATTTTCTAAAATTTTATTTTTCACATTTTACTTTCCAAGTTAGACTGTTTTTCGTAGAAAAAAGGAACCTAAACTTTTCGGTTTCAAAAATGTGGTGACGAGAGGAATCAGAAAATTTCTCACTTTCGTAATGCGTCAAATTTCATCTAAAATTTCGGAAAAATAATACTCAAGCCTTTGTAATTTCGAAAAGACTCAAGTTCCCCAAGGATGACCAAACAGATACAAATTTTACGCGCCGTTTAGAATGCATTTCTAGATATCTAAAAAGTACTCTGGATAGCCTGAAAAGGAAACCATCGTTGGGTGCCCCGATTAATAACTTATTCCTTTCTCTAAACGGCAAAACTAGCCAACAAAATGGGAAAACCTGTACTAAATATGACTGATACCCCAATACATTCTAAATGGAAAAAAGCTATAATTTAAGGATAAGACAAGAATTTTGTCTGGCTCAAATCGGCAGAAAAGTAAGAATTTTACTTATGTATTTGCCAGAAAAAAAAACATAATGATATACATACAGACATGCAATATATTATAAAAAAAATGTTATTTAAAGATTAAAGAGGCGTAAATTCTAAGTAAAAGAATTAAAAGTGTTTTTCTGACGAGAAAGTTCAAACAGAGGCCTTGGGGCTTATTATATGAAGAATATTCACTCCGTGGGTCGGAAAATAACATTCTAAAAAAAGAGTGTTTTCGTCGATAACACAAGCATCAATTTTGTTGTCGACAAACCGCAACTCTTTTTTGCTAGTCTGTGTGACAATCTTTGATAAGTAACGCTAATATCATCGCCCCTTTCTCGACAAATAAAAATAAAAAAACTTTTAGAGTTTACAAATGCAACTTCCCGCACATTGCGTTTTACTAAGTTGCAGCTTACTATTTGTAAGTAACTTGTAAGAAAATAGTAATCGAAATCTTTGGATCACAGAACTCTTTGACAGTTTTGTTAAAAATCCCAAACTGTCGGTAACCTAGGATCGTTGCTATTTAGAGAGATCATGGTCTCAAAAGTTAATACACGCTTAGAGTCCTTAGTAACTGTCAAGCGTGATCATTCGAACAATGAGTATTGAAAAACCAAATTATTTTTTTAAATGATTTTTTGTTTTGCATTTTGAGCTAATGCGCTCATACGATTAAAAACGATAAAGTCAGGGACGAAGAATTATACCCATATTTTTCTATTCTTGACTTTTATCGTCAAAAATTGAAACTCTTCCTCGTTCCGTGGTTTCTATTGTTGGTCGCGTGATATGCGAGATCAGACAATAAATCTGAGACACACGAACCATTAGACGAACTTGAATAAATTAGTCTGGCCTAAATAGAAGATGGCGCTCACGCTTAGTTCGCTTTTAACAAATGTGAAATCGGCCTTTGAAAACAACTCAGGTGCCATAAAAAACACCACAGTCGCCTTGCTGGTGTTTGGCCTGAATGCCGTCGTACAGAGTGAAGGTTTTTTCCAGTGTCCTCCAGACAACTTTGTTTTCTACGCCAGCTGTTTCTTCATCATTCCTGCTTTGTCTTTGTTTATGGCGACGATTTTTCTTCACAGCGAATTTTGGGACCATGTTCGTGGATGCTGTTATTACGAAGGTCCGTACAAGCGAGGAGGAAAACGGTACTGCTGTTGTTTGTTTCCAAGATGGCCTTGCAGCAAAGCTCTTGTGGAAATCGTATTCCAAAGTTCTCTGTCTGGGTTCATATGGATTTTCTGGGCGCTCTTGCAGCGTGACTATTACATCTGCGCCGCTCTCGGAGGAACGAAAGCAGCTAAATTAATCAGTGCCTCAGCCGCGCAAAAGTTACAAATCGAAGCAGATTACGCGAACGCGGGAAAAAATTCACAGACGGCAGCGTTACTCTTGCTAGCTGGAGCGTTACTTACAGCTTTCGTTGTTGTTTCAGTTCAGCGATGCTGTTATCAGCGTGAGTTTGGCACTTTACCGAGTCCGTACCAGTATAAGAAGCTCGAGTCAGAAGCTGCTGTGGAGGCCTTTAAAGTGAACATGGAAAAACTCGCGAAAGGACAAGGTAAGAGGCGTGCAGGTATGTACTTTGCGACCATGAACAAGAAAAACCCGTCTGACATCCTTAAGAATGCCTATGAAATCTCGTCGCTGTGAACAAATTTGACGAAGCGTTTCCATCTTTTGAAGATTATCAGGAGCTCCAAGCACACGCGGTTATGGGCATCTCCAGGGAAGATAGAGCCTCCAAGACAGTATTGCTGCGCAGAGCCAACATGCCATGCATTGAGGCACTCATGATGAAACCAAAGCTGCGGGGGGTTGGACATGTGGTTCGAACGGACGACGCGCGCCTCCCGAAGATGGTCTTCTTCTCTGACCTGGCTACCTGTGCGCGTAGCATTAGACACCCACTGAAGAGGTTCAAACATGGCCTGAAACAAAAAATTCAATTGAATCCCATTCTTGGATGAGAAACCCTCACCGCAAACCCCAGCGCCCGGAGAATGGCCGTCCACAAGGGCGCTCAAGGCTTTTTAAAAAGCGGCTGTACAACCTCGACCAGGCTTATGGTCGGCCATTTGTTTCAAAATTATGACACGATATACGTGCGGTTTTTTCCCGCGTATACTTGCAATCATTCCTGCTACACGATATACGTGCGTTTGTTTGTCACATATACGTGCGTTTTATTCCCAAGTATATGACCATTTTCTTACAAACGCACATATATATGCGCACAAAAAATCCCATATATATGCGTTACAAACAAGCATGTGGTATATGGGGTTACAGAAAGTCGTCACATAAGAGGCACCGAATTATACCGTCAGCAAAAAACCCCTTCATGTACGATGGCGCTGAAAAGTAACGTCAGTTTCAATCAAGCATGGCCGTAATGGCCGCGTTAATTTCGAGCAAGATTTGGTTCTTATTCATTGGCCTCACAGTAGTGGTGGTTGTTGGCTCCCCGACAACGGATTTGTTGGAATCCGTGGATTTGTCTCTTGAGAGACTGTGTACGCTATTTCACAAATGCTGACCGAAACAACGATCGATTCAGTTAGAAAATTAGGGCGGTCCGACAGGCAAAAAACACGATTCATAAGCTCTTGATAATGCGACACATGACCTTGAGAGTCTGCTTGAACAGATTGGTTTTTCTTCTTTTCTCTCTCTCGCGCGAATTATCACCTTTTCGCTTCCGCGAACTCGTTCTAAGCCTCCTAGTCTCGAAGCTTTTTATTATTTCCTTGGTATTCTCACTGACTTTAATAGTCTTCCACCTGCCTCTCTTTGCTTAGTGCTCCTCCACTTTAATTGTGATTTTCATGGTTATCTAACTCGTTCTCGTTCAACTTGCATAAAATGTCCCTGAGGTATCAATTTGCTATTAGTTCTCAAGCCCCGATTATTAGGAAGGATAGTTTATTTATAACTTCAGTTTGGCGTTTTTTTGCAGCCAATGGCAAATCAGTATTTTTGATTATAGCACTGAGCTAGTTTCGCTCTCTGCACCATAGTAGCAACCGACGAGGAACTGCATCCTTGCAGAATTCATAACATTCGCATAGACACAAGAGCAAGTTCCTACGAAGGAACAACAAGAAGCTAGAAGACATCGCGCTTTTGTTTACTCACCTCTGATCTCAAAAAAAAATTAAATCGGACTGCATCAGGCTATCAGCGGTGACAATGATCTTGACTCACGCAAAGCATAATTCTCCACACTTGGCCGGTAGCGTTAGTTTAAGCTACCGTGTACAACTCAAATCTGAAGATCTCAGTCACTATCCGTGAAAACTCAAAATCCTTGAAACAACACTTATGAGCTGGGCCCAACGTCATACTGACATAGCAGCCCGGGAGGGGCGGGGGGGGAGGGGGTACTCAACAAATTCTTATACGGCGGAGGGCCACCCCTTAACCTTTTATATACCATTTTTCACGATTTCGTGTACCTTCTATTGACAAATGGTTCTCCTTTCACATACCTTGCTTAGAACTTTGTATCCCTTTTAACTGCTGGAAACCCGCACTGCCATAAAATAGGAATCAGTCACAAATGTAGAACGCTTTCTCGACGGGTAAGGGGTTGGACCTCGGGGTGGAGCCTCCCCGTACAAATGTTTGTTAAGTACCTCTCCGGGATTTCGGGCGGAGCCTCCCCGTATAGGCCATCATAGGGAGTGCCCTCTCCCCTGGCATAGCAAGAAATAATCGCATTCCCGGACAAAGAAACTTACATGCATGCATGTAGTTATTCCGCAGATCCAGGATTTAAGGAGAAAACAAGAGAAACTAAAATCTTTATTTACCCGTAATGCTAAATTAAAGCTTTAGGCTTAAAAAGAGGTCAAAGAAAGTTAAAACACTTTACAACTGCATCTGAGGTCAACTCCTAGCAGGAACACGTAAAGAACCATAAACCACAAGAAATGATTACTCAGTATGCATGTAACTCTCTGTAGTGCTAGTAACTTTAACTTAACTTTATTATTCCATCGTTCATATAGTACAAAACTCAGTAAAGCCAAAGCCGGGGGCTTATACGACCTGTGGTCAAAATGACAGAAATTATTTTATGTAGAAATGAAGCCACTGAAGGCTAAATTTCAAAACTAAAACAAGATACAAAACTTAAATTAAGTAATGCAAGCAGTCCTATAGCAGAGATAAAACTAGAAGTACTAGTGACAAATAAAATAACAATAAACTATGATAATCCTGCGCTAATTCAATTCAGGCTTAAAAAGTAAAGTTTTAGTTTCTATTTAAAGTCAGTGGTGGTAAGGCTGTTACGAACAGTGTAGGGTATATCAGTGGGATATCCTTGGCCAAATAATCGGGGCTTGAGAACTAATAGCAAATTGATACCTCAGGGAAATTTTATGCAAGTTGAACGAGAACGAGTTAGATAACCATGAAAATCACAATTAAAGTGGAGGAGCACTGAGGAAAGAGAGGCAGGTGGAAGGCTATTAAAGTCAGTGAGAATACCAGGGAAATAATAAAAAGCTTCGAGACTAGGAGGCTTAGAACGTGTTCGTGGAAGCGAAAAGGTGATAATTCGCGCGCGAGAGAGAAAAGAAGAAAAACCAATCTGTTCAAGCAGACTCTCAAGGTCATGTGTCACATTATCAAGAGCTTATGAGTCGTGTTTTTTGCCTGTCGGACCGCCCTAATTTTCTAACTGAATCGATCGTTGCTTCGGTCAGCATTTGTGAAATAGCGTACACAGTCTCTCAAGAGACAAGCCACGGATTCCAACAAATCCGTTGTCAGGGAGCCAACAACCACCACTACTGTGAGGCCAATGAATAAGAACCAAATCTTGCTCGAAATTAACGCGGCCATTGCGGCCATGCTTGACTCAAACTGACGTTACTTTTCAGCTCCATCGTACATGAAGGAGATTTTTGCTGACGGTATAATTCGGTGCCTCTTATACGACGACTTTCTGTAGCCCCATATACCACATGCTTGTCTGTAACGCATATATATGGGATTTTTTGTGCGCATATATATGTGCGTTTGTAAGAAAATGGTCATATACTTGGGAATAAAACGCACGTATAGGTGACAAAAAAAAAAACACGTATATCGTGTAGCAGGAATGATTGCAAGTATACGTGGGAAAAAACCGCACGTATATCGTGTCATAATTTTGAAACAAATGGCCGACCATACAGACCTTTCGGAAGGCCGGGTTCTAGTTGCGCGAAGGCTGCGTCTTAGCGATTGAGTCGATCTAGACGGTTTCTTCGAGTTGTTTAGGGTAGGCCATTATAACTGATTTTTTTTTGTAAATTTACTAAGGATGGCGCGTGGAAAGTAACGGACAAAGAACTACTCAGCAGCCAAGCGTCAACAGGAAAAGGTCAAGCGAAGCCTTTCCTCGCCATGCCGCCTGTAATCGGAAAAAAAGACGAGCATCTCAGCAGTGACGAAAAATACGAGGAGGAGAGCTTTCGAACCAAACAACTCTTTTTATTTGCTTGGCAAATAGCTAAAGGAATGGTAATTACTATATGATTATTTTCTGAGCGACGTTGCTTCGATTCAGTTTCTGTCTTCATCATTCAAAGATCGGTTTCAGGCTATTTCATAAGCAAGAAATAAAGGACAAATGGGTTAATTTTCTAGATGAAGAATGATTTGATTTTTTTCATTAGAATGTCAAATTAGTTTTAGTGGAGAAATTGTCTTAGTCGATCGAACCAAATTTGGCATGTTTCGTATAATCTTGAATCAGTCGTTCAGATCAGTTCAGTTTAGTATTTTTCGTTTAGTAATTTAGTTCAGTAATTGTTTGCCCCTAATTTTCTCGCCTTCACCCATACCTTTTTAGGCTGTAATAGCCCTGTAACTGAAGTATTATGGTACTTATTTTCATTTTTTTTCCCTTCCTTCTTAAAATTAGAATCATCTCGCCGAAGCAATCTTGTCCACAGAGACCTTGCTGCCCGTAATGTTCTTGTTGGCCATGACAACTAAATTAAAGTGTCAGACTTTGGGTTGATGAGACAAATCTATGAAGATGTGAGCAGCTCAGCGAAGTCCAAAAAACTTCCTGTGAAATGGATGGCCCCGGAATCACTCTATCAAGGCCTTTACACTACCAAAAGTGATGTGTACGTACAAAAGATTCCCACTCTTTTAAACATATTTCGATACATTGCTGCTCAGAAAACCTCAGCTACCCTAAAAATCGTGATCAGTGAGTTGAATTCAAACCGATCTAGAATTCCAGTGGTTAATATAGTGGGTAATTTCGTACTTGTCAGCGCAATTTTGACTCAGGACTATATATAGTTTTCACATTCAATAGCGAGAGCGGGGTCGGTTGAATTCTTAAATCAGAGTGTATGTAAAGATCACTTAGAAGCTTTTCTTTGCCAGGAAAAGTTTACGAATATGCGACAGACGCGTAACGTAAATTGGTATTGACTTCCCTACTCTATTAACCTTGTTAGGCCATTTACTAAGGGCTTTGAGCGTCT